AAGTAGTATACTGTATGGAAATTATCGGACGCTCATCGCCGCCAGTGGTTCTCTGCGAGCTGAACGAGTGGTCCCCTGTGTTGAACCAAGGTTCTAAATTCGCCCGACATTGTCTCCTCTCGTGATCAGTTAACCATTAGCAATCCTTTATTTGGTTAGTCCAATTTAGGCAGCAAGAAGTTAGTTTGAATCCCATCGAGTACTCAGAGGCACTCCGCTGTGATTGTAAGCGGGAGTTTGTATGAGTTCCCCAGGTCATAGGATGTGCGGTTAGAATATGCACGGTGTGAATACCTCTTGCTACTTGGGCGAAGCCTGAGTTCCTGTCTATCCCTGACTGCTGCATCTTCGGTGTAAAGGAGTCAGGTGAACATGTCCTAGAACGTGAAAAAGGGGGCAAGCGCATTTATAATCTAGGCAATCAAGCAGAAATTGGTTTAACCACACATTCACGATTATTAAACATGGTCAAGTGTCTGAAACCACAGAGGGAAACAAACCATCTGGGTTGAGTCTGGTACACGGTCGGACCCCCCCGTTATGCAAGAGTTGAGAGTCAACCAAAAATTACAAGCTGAGAGTTGGCCAAATCTGCTGCAGCATCCGACAGGCTTGAGCCACTGGTCAACCTGCGGTTGGGTAACTAAACCTAGAGACATGCTCAGTGCGCACTGCTTTCGCGGGTAGAAGGTCATGATTAGTACTGTCGGCCTCTTTGTAGGACGAACTAGCTCCGGTGTCTGTCATACGTCATTCGTTTACCCAGTCGGCTTTGTCCGATCCGTGTAACCCAGATGTGAACTGGAGTCCAGCCTTGAGGGAAAAGCTGTAGCGTTCTGCAGAACTCGAGTGCACACCTAATCATGCTCAGTGAGACTCGGCAGCAAGAGTCCAAACAATGAGTTGCATGCAACAAGAAACCAGTGGTGGACTGGCAGTAGAGAAGTTGCCATCAACAATTGCTTGGTGAAGTCATAAGAGTTTATTTCGAGGGTCAAGGGATTGATGACAAATACTACTTTAATCTAATCTGCACAACCAGACAGACGGTGATTTGGGGGGGATGAAATGGCGGGCAAAAACATTCTCTCGGTATTTTGCGCATCCTTTCGAGAGAAAGCAGAAGGCTGGGAAAAGGGGACCATTGATGCTATCTGGGACTACATAAAGCTGATGAGAGAGCGGGCACTCGAATTAGTAAAAACTCAAGAAATTGTTGAGTATGTCATATATTTCTATGGGTTTGATGGGGAAATGCACGACACGTTCTCATTTATTGAGACTACCGACCGAGCCAGGGAGTCCGTCTGTGGTCAATAAAGAGTTTTCTGTGGCAATACCCGACCTTTCAGTCTTAAAGGGTCAGTTGAGAGGGGAGCGAAGGCTCGGCCTAAGAGCAGGCTGCGTTGCACCCTTCAGTAACTGGATGCGGGAGTGAGCATCCAATGTTATCGGGGGACAAGATATTGGTCAATTACACAGTGCATTATCAAAACCTGAGAAGGTAAAGCAACCAGCACAGTCCACTTGACACTACCCGACAAACCAGAGGGATTCACCAGCAAGTCAGTTATGGAACAATAATCCCCTATATGAGAAGATTTCAATCATTCTAGCCAGCAAATACCTCTTCGAGATCTACAACTCCCCCAATATCCTGGAGTAAAAGTGATCAGCGGAAGGTGACTCGACATATTTTCTTTTTTTTTGCAAATGATCAGCATACACTAGTATTCAACCAATACTCGGCCGTCAGAAGTTACTCGAGGAAAACTATCAGCAGTAAGCAACACTCGGGTCGTTACTTGCCAACTCAGAGATTAACCATAATCACATAGTGCCTTGCTAAAGGAAAGCGGAGATCGGGGTCAACACCCACTTTAGCACATGAGTACGGTACAATCGTTCTCGGTTTCGAAAACCATTCTTATCAACCTTAACAGCATTGCATCCAAGGATGCCTTCCCGTACAGATATGTCAGCGCAAGAGGCTTCAGTCAAAGTAACTTGTCAATCTATGCGGTCCTTACCAAATCTGCAGGTGGAACCATTCACGATCTAAGACTCTATATGAAGAAGGGGAAAGAGGCTCATGAACATTTCGATTCGGTTTGGCTCACAATAGCAAGGTATCTTGAGGAGAGGGAAAAAAAACTTGACGAGAATGGTGTGAAGTTGATCCGCAGCTTCGGGCCGAAGCTCTATACTGATTATCCTAAGCCTCCGGTTCCCTTTGTTCTCACGGACGGTTCTCACTGGCGTGATCTGATTGACCTAGCCAAGAGGTACATTTCACCTGCAACTATCGATTATGAGGCAGTGACTGAACCTTCCGAGTTCCCACATCTCAGACGAGGGGTCTTCTCTCAGTCGTATCTTCCTACACTATGGGAGGAGTTTCGTGCCATGATTGATTTCCGTATTATGGGACTTGGATGGAAATGCTCAGAGCTACCAGGCTTCAGGTGGCTCCATATCCAGAGGCCACAATCTCGGAAAGTACACAGACATGGCTCCAAGCACAAGAAACGGACAGTCAAATGAGAGATTGAATGTGAGGATCAGAGGGATGAGTGAGGACTCTTGGTTGGTGCTGGCCATGCTCTTTTTCATGTGTACTCTCTGAGACTATTATGAGTTCTCATTCTTCCCTAATCTAACTTTGTCATCGCTTGAGTCAGTCAGTCTTGATTATCTCTTCTGGCATTGCTTGATGATTGTTTTCCTTGCAGATTATGTCACAGTTCTCAATTCTCTAAATTGGCATCTCGATGCACACATGGCATATTTAATTTAATTTTATTATTTGCATCTTCATTGCAGTTTCGAATCACAATTAAAGATTTCTAAGACCGGGGCCCGGCGAAGATCGTAATTGAAGGGTCTCGCTTGAAGCCGGGCGCACACAACAGGAAGGGTTTTGCTTTATTTAATTTATTTGATTTATTGCAAGAACAACCAAAATCCTGCGTGACAGCCTGTTGGCTTTCTGGTCGCCTGAAGAGGCCCGGCTAGAAAAAGTGCGACACCGTGCAGACCATCGCCAATACCAGGTATGTGCCCTCACATCATCATCATCATCATCATCCTTCTCTCTCTCTCCATTGTCTCTCTCCCTCGTCTTCCTTTTTGTACACCCGAAGACCACCCCTGCGCCTCACTGTACATCCAAGCCCTCAGCCAGCTATGTAGGCTGGGCTATGGCGCTGCCCTCAGCATCACCCTGCTTCCACACACGACCGCACGTGCGCAGCACCTTGCTCCTGTGCTAGCAGCCAGCACGCGAGCATAAGCTCCAGCAGCGCTGCCACCAGCCAGCAAGTGCCCGAATGAATGGCCAGGCAGCGAGCTCTTTCCTATATGGAAAGAGCCTGCCTCATTTGGCAGCCGGGTTGGACTGGCCTGGGCCCAAAAGCTTCCGGTAGGCCCCAGGATGCTGCGCCTCTCTTGCAGCTACTGGGCCTCATTCGGTTGGGCCTCTCAACTGTCTGTGTATGAGGCTGCCATTCTCGTCCAGGGCCTGCATTGTTTTGGAAAGGCCTGGAAGGCCGTCGAAAGTCTCGCTGCTCGGCCTGTGTTTTCCTCAACCAACTGGCGCGACGAAACTGCCTGGAACCCAATTATGAAATTGACAGCCGAGGGACTCTCGTAATTTGTTAGGCCCGACTTCACTTAGGGCGGGCACAGATGCAACAGGGGGGCCCTTAGGCCTGCCGAGGACCCAGATCTTCGCACTGGGGCTGGTCAGTTCAATAATGATATCTCAAGGCCATCACCCTTTTGAAAAGCAGGGAAAACCAAAGAACTTGAAAGAAGTACAAAAAAAAAGGGTGAAAAAAAAGGTAGTAGATTAATCAACACCACCTAAAGGATTCACCATTTGACATTATAAAGGACATATGCAGTACGGATAACACTACTACCGTCTTCACCCGAGTAGAACGCACGGTCACTATAGCCGCATTTGGCACAACGTTCAGCCCAGATGCAGCGATAATAACCGGGTGCTTTATTCGCGTGAAGATGGTAGCAGGAAGCTTATGACAGTGATGTGGGTCTAAGGCCAACCCACAATGCCACACCACCATCGAGTGTTGTACTGTGACCACCGTCTTCACCCGAATACAACGCACAGTAATTATACCTGTATTTGGGGCAACTGTGAGGCTAGATACAGCAATAGTGACCATATGTTGTACTCG